TGTAGGCTTTACTTATTTTTTCATTCATTTCAAAACCAGGGAGTTCATAACTATAAGTATGTAAGGGAGAGGTGGTTACAAATATGGCTCCTACCTTCAGTCTAATGCACCAATGAATTCTATATTTAATCCCAGCTCAGGACTCTCCTTCCCAAACCACTCCAATGCCCTGTGTTCATGATGACAACTTGGCCTCACCCCTGCATATAGCATTTGTGTCTACCACACTCCCTCTTGCATATTCTTGTGAGATGTGTAAAGACCCAAGAAAACAGGTGTTTCCACTTCCTATAGGCTCCTAAATGGTAAATAGCCCACCAAGTATGAAAATATCAATAAGTAACTGAACTGGTCATAGAAGCCAAATGTTCTGACTCTACCACATATTTCCACAATTGTGACCCTACCTCTGAAGTTTAAGAATGCATTTTTCAAGTCATCTAATCTTTATCATATGCTTGTATTTACAGTGTATGGTCTTTGTTTTTCTTTCATTTGTATCTTATATGATTAGTACCTGGGGATAAAAGTAAGGCGACCTCCTCCAGAACTCTGGGTATTAAACTAGCGACACCAACACAAAATAAATAAAATGGACAACCTGCAACAATCACCGAGCCCGTGGACGGCAAACTGCGGCTCGCGAGCCACATGCAGCTCTTTGGATCCTTCAGTGTGGCTCTTCCTAGGCCTTAGGAGAACCCTAATTAAGTTATAACAATGTACCTACCTATATAGTTTAAGTTTAAAAAATTTAAGTTCAAAAGAAATTTCAATCGTGGTACTGTTGATATTTGGCTCTGTTGACTGAAGAGTTTGCCGACCACTGACTAGACCAGTGGTCAGGGCACCCCATGCTGATGTGCAGGCTGAGCAAGCTGCAGCCTTGCCGAGTGCCAGATGCACAACTTGCAGACACCCCGAGGCAGCCTTGGGGTATTTCCCTCCTTGGTCAAGACAGAGAAAATAATGCTAGAAATAAAACCTGGTCTGATAGAGTAAAAACAAAAGCTGAACATTATCAAGGGTGCCGAGACGTCTGAAGAAGAATGTATGGCTGAAGGAGGTGGGCCTGGACCCAACTGCCCTTCACAACTAAAGGATAAATGCCTTCAGGACAGGAACCAGGCCTGGGTTGTTTTTTTCCATCCAACACTATGCCAAATGGGCTTAGTTCATGACCTGAAATAAAGAACCATGTATTTCTTTGTGTGTGTGTGTGTGTGTGTGTATCCAAGAGCTTTGCAAGAGGAAAATTGTATGCAGATTAATAATAACGAGAAAATAAATACAAGTAGCCCTTTACACTTATAAAGCACTTGAAAAATACCAGAAAACTCAGCTGGCATATAATTTGAGATACATATCCACTTTTTCAAAGTGAATGGCTCTTGTCAGATAAGTATCACATGATCTCACTCATTTGTGGAATATAATGAACAACATATACTGATGAACAAAAATAGAACCAGAGACAGAGACGCATCGAATATACTGTCCAACCTATGAGGGAAGGTGGGGGCAGGGGGAAAGGGGGGTAAGAGATCAACCAAAGGACTTGTATGCATGCATATGAGCATAACCAATGGGCACAGATGGGGGAGAGACGGGGGGAGACTTATGTAATACTTTAAACAATAAAGAATTTAAATTTAAAAAATAAAAGTGAATGGCTCTTAAGAAAGACCATTTTAGCCCAGCTG